CTAGATCTAGGTTTCTCTGGCTATATTAAGAATATAGCACTTAGTCTAAACTAAGTACATACTGACTCGAGAAAGGTTTTGTAGTTTTTAACATTTCAGTTAGAGTATTATTTTTTTTTATTCTAAATCCAAAAGCAGTGTAGTTAAATAGTTGGGATCGAGAGGTCATCGCTAGACAGAACTATAGTCGACAACAAGTCTTATTGGAATAGGCTCCGGTTGTTTGGGATATTTCATACTTAGTGTTCGAAGAGTGTGCTTTAGTCTTCTAATCCAATTTATCAATTTAATAAACAAATCGTTTAGACAATTTGTTCTTGTTTTCCGTAAAAATGCAAACAAGGATATCATCTGGTCCAACTCTTACCCTTGAAAAGCTTTCTCGTTTCGTATTTGTGACGCCAGTGACGCTAATATCTGCTGATTATATTCTCTTACAAAGTTCTAGCTAATAATGGTAGTCAAGTATGTCTTACGTTAAATATTTCGACTTTGCTCTGTGTTTGGCTGTTTTGTAAATATTTTTATAATATACAAGCAAGCTTAACAACTCCTAAAAGCTAAGGGCGAGCGCCCACCAAAGTGGCGTGGCAGTGACAAGTAGCAAGTAGCACGCGTCTAGCATAATGTAACCAATCCTAACGAATGATTAGAATAAATGACGTTACTGTCATTTCGGTGTAAACTGAATCATTCGTTTTCATTGGTTACATTATGCTAGACGCGTGCTACTTGCTACTTGCCACTGCCACGCCACTTTGGTGGGCGCTCGCCCTAAAATCGCACGATTGCTGGTTGTTTTTCTACTAAGAAACAAATATTAAGTTACGTTTAATTTATTTAATTGTGATGATATAGTTATTTCCTGGGAATCTCATTATTGACGTGACTTCATTATTTCATCCCATGACTTCGATATATTTCCCTTACACAACCTACATTCTCCCACATCCTTACAATTTATACTCTTTCAACAACTATTTGAGTACGGTATAATATCAGCGTGTAGTGCATTGTTCGTTTCAAAATAATATATACGCGTGCTGATTATTGCTCTGACAAAGCGCTCAATCATCTATAGAATGGGTTGGCCTTTCGATTTATATTGAACCCACCGCGATCCTCAATTCCGGAAGCTCTTTCACGAGTTACAAGTGGAATGCCGAGAGTGTTTCAACGGTCAGGACTGGGTAATCAGAAAATCGTGATAATCGGATTTCAGAATATAAGGATGTTTTTCGCATTACTTGTAGCATCTTCCAGAAACATTAAAACATTTAAATTAGAGATCTTTTTAAATTTAATGCTTAAAGTTTCGATGAGTAGTTTTGTTATTATTAGATTTTAAAATCCATGATCCATGATTTTTTTTCTGTTCCTGTTTTAGTTCATTTCCGATGTTGTCGTTTCTTTTCCTGCCCAGCTTCGTGTTTTCATAATTTGTATAAAAAACTATTAACTTTTTAGTAAAATTCTACAAATGTTGAACAAATCTAACAAACATTCTGTAATAAAATTAATTTTACCCTATTTTTTATTATAAAAAAAAATAAATACCTTTGTGTAAAAAAAACTTTCCCATAAAAAATTAATACAAAACCCAGAATCTCGAAAATACAGAACAGAAATGTGTGTAGTGTCACTTATAATTTGGTCAGCCACTGTATATTTGATAAATTCGCAATAATCCAAAATATTGAAATATTTTTATAAATCTAATTTATTAACATTATTTATTATAAAATCTTGTAACACTTAGTTTATTAGAGTCTTTATTTATTTAATTTATATATAATCTTACAATAATTTATTTTCCACTGGCACTATTCTAATTTGTATAATTTATTTACTACATTTATTTCCGCGTTACAATTCAAACTGGACTCGACTGTTTACAATAAACATTTCTCTATATATATTTAATAACCATTATCTGAAGCTCCCTAGAATTCGACCGGTGACCTTTCCTGAATCTTCTCGAATGCCATGAAAGCCAGACAGGTTTTAGCGAAGAAGACCCGTGGATTTACATACTAAAAAAATACTTGTTAGAAAAATATGTTTACAACTAAGGGTCATGAGTCATATTTATCGTAACAATATGTTTTAATAATAATATTTTAGCCACCTTTACTCAATATTTGACTAATTCAGGTTTTCAGTTTATAAGGTCTATATTATTTATCTTTGATTTACGACTGTAAACTATGCATTTGAATTTTATACCAAACTAGAATCTTTATGGAAAGCACTTATGTATGTTTTTTTGTTGAAAAGAGTTTTTTTATCGGAAGCTGTGAGTCTTTGATTTCAATTTAGTTAGGAAATACTATACATGAAGTAATAAAAAAAAGGTACAGTAGGCGTTGTTTCAGACTATGTTTTCTATATTTTTAAAATTAAATATTATTTTTAAAATTAAATAAAGTAATTTTATTATTTATTTATGATTTTTATAGATTTTAATAAAATTGAAAAAGTTTACGTGTTGTATAACGGCCACCCTTCGTCACGTAAATACACCCTTCAACTCAATTGGGTTGAAAAACAATGGACTGAATTGTTTACTGTGACTACTATTTCGTAAAAAGCCATATTTAATCGGTGTTGATTTAGAAATCTCTTCCAAAGTATAAATATGAAAGTTCAATTGAAAATGTTTTACTAATAACTCTTTTTGTCACACTTTTATACAATGATATTAATTTTAATATGGAATGAAATCAAATCGCCCGCTCAAAAGTACACAAGTGATTTAATTGGAGGCAACTTATCACAATATTCTAGCTCAAAAACCAACCATACCTCTTTGCCAGTACTTACCAGTCATCGTCTTAGGATACGTATGAGGGTGGTTATTCTGATGAATATGAAGTCCCCAGAGTTTAAAAACCAAAAGGACGCATTTTTCTCAAAGAAACAAATGGAGAATTCAAGTAGACCAAATGACGTTGCACCGAGTCAAGGAGGGAAATACAGCGGATTTGGGTATACGACGGAACCTACACCTAGAAGCCAATCTCAAGAATTTGTAGATTGAGCCATATCATCTCTAGCTAATGATCGGTCCTTCCTGTCCTCTTCAGCAACAAAACTGGTGACCAAAGCGTCCGAATACGCCGTTAAATACAGATGATTAAATAGTCAGAAGGTAATTGAAATTAGTTCACGTGTAGGGTAAAAGGTAGAGAAGGAACACTATTAGAAGAAGTTGGTTTCCAAGTTACTAGTTTAACAAATAAGATGTCCGTACTGGGTAAAAAAGAGTGAAAAGGAGTGGGCAATTTACGCAATGAGAGCAACATCGCCGGAGGATATGGTGAAGTAGCTGGAGACAATTATTCTCCAAGTGAAAAATCATCATTGTATAGTTGAGGCAATGGATATGTTAGAGAGGAAGATTGGAGTTGTAATAGTCAACAAGGTTAGAAAGCATCAAGCCCTAAATCTCCCAATCAAAACTGTGAAGGAGATTGGAGTAGTTATCAAAATAAAGATCGTGGTAGTTACCAATCAGATATAAAAACTTATTCATCAAATACTATAACATCGCCAGTAGAAGATAGATCCAGTAAAATTAACAAAAAAGAAAGAAAGCCCAAGAAAAAAGAAACACAAAAGAGTGGCAACACCACGTTTTTGTGTTTCTTTTTTCTTCTTGTGCTTATAATATAAGCTTCGTTTCAAAACATGCCGTACAAAAAATAACATGATAGATGACAGAGTCTCATAGAGACCATTTTATAAAATATCGGGGGTAAGAGTGTTAAGAGATTACACCCATCCAAGTACTAACCGCACCCGACACTGCTTGACTTCGGTGATCGGACGAGAACCGGTATATTCAGTGTGGTATGGCCGTTGCCGATTATAAATGAAACAAATTGATATCAAAATGAATTAGGTGACCAAATTATACAAACGATTTAGGACAGTTATGCTTTTTAAATCTTCTTCACCTTCGTCTTACTTGAAATTAAACTTATGCTATCTTCTCATTATATCAACTTCGAACATTAAACATATAATTAAGTATTCTAGATGTGAAAAAGATATTCTAAATATTAAAGAAGTAATTGGACTAATATCTTTGAATATTTAAAATCAGATGACCTTTTCAGCGCCACAAATTATATCTATTTATGTATGAAAGTTCATATCCCCGATCAAGACCTAATTTTACCGAAAATATAAAAAAATAAATCATATATAAATTCCTTGAAAAGTTAATTACGTTAAGTGGAAGTGAATAAGAGTGCTTTTAAAAGAAATAACCTTACACACTCAGATATTTGTGGTTCTGAAAAGAACCGTTTTGTAATATGTCTTTGACCGTTTGTTTATGCCCTTTCACCCCTGATTCTCCTGGCTAGCTGAATGTCCTTTGGCATAATAGTGACTCTCTTAGCGTGAATAGCACATAAATTGGTATCTTCAAACAAACCTACCAAATATGCTTCACTCGCTTCCTGTAAAGCCATAACTGCCGAACTCTGAAAACGTAAGTCCGTTTTAAAATCTTGCGCGATTTCACGAACAAGACGTTGGAAAGGTAGTTTTCTGATAAGTAGTTCAGTACTTTTCTGGTAACGTCTAATTTCACGAAGAGCTACGGTACCTGGCCTGTAACGATGAGGTTTTTTAACTCCTCCAGTGGCCGGTGCACTCTTACGGGCAGCTTTGGTTGCTAACTGTTTACGTGGTGCTTTACCACCAGTAGATTTTCGGGCTGTTTGCTTTGTACGCGCCATTATTTCTGCGTGCCGATAGAACTAATTTTACTGGGGTTTTTACATTTATATATACATTACATGTGGCGATATAAGGGAGGGGCAATCTTAATTTTTATTGGTCGACTAAATAATTTTGAATTGTAATCTTTTTAATACCATTGGTCGGTTTTCAATTTGGAGGCATGTCAATGACTGAATTTGCAGGTATAAAACGTTAGGCACATATCTCAAATTTTCTAGAAAGTCGAAAGTAATTTTACCGTAAAAATGACTGGACGTGGAAAAGGTGGTAAAGGTTTGGGAAAAGGTGGCGCTAAACGTCATCGTAAAGTTTTGCGTGATAACATCCAAGGTATTACTAAGCCTGCTATCAGAAGATTAGCTCGTCGCGGAGGAGTAAAACGTATTTCTGGTTTAATCTACGAGGAAACGAGAGGTGTATTAAAAGTATTTTTGGAGAACGTCATTAGAGATGCAGTTACCTATACTGAGCACGCCAAAAGGAAAACTGTAACTGCTATGGATGTTGTATATGCACTTAAACGCCAAGGTCGTACGTTATATGGTTTTGGTGGTTAATTGCTATGAATACGATTATTAAAACAACGGTTCTTTTTAGAACCACAATTTATTACTAATGTATAGAATTTTATTATTTACTATAATTCTTAAAACAATTTTAATGCATAGAAATTCATGCACATACGTGTCCGATACCCACAATTTTTATAATAAAGTTCCAATAAAACTTGGTAGTGTCTCCCGTATAGTATCCCAAAATATACTCCCCATCGATTGAAAACACCAATGTGCCACTTCTAGCTATAAATACCGTCTTATACGGAAAGTTTTCATGAATGTTCGTTCTATACTGTTTAATGATGAATAGAAATTATTTCATAAAAATGCATGAGTATTGTTTCAAAATCTACCAGAAATATATGTACATACGTATGCCCATTGCTCGTTACAATCAAATCGTATAATTCAGCAAACGTATATAATCTACTTCTTAAAACAACGATACCGAATTGAGTACTTTAAACTCACACGTGAAATATTATGTGGCCCTGAAAAGGGCCGGGTTGTATAAAAAGGGAAAATGGTATAGCTCTTAAGCTTTCTTTTCTGTCTTCTTGGGTAATAATACTGCTTGTATATTGGGCAATACTCCACCTTGGGCGATGGTAACTCCTGAAAGCAATTTGTTTAATTCCTCGTCATTTCTTATAGCTAACTGTAAATGTCTAGGAATTATACGGGTCTTTTTGTTATCTCTCGCTGCGTTTCCTGCCAATTCCAAAACTTCAGCAGCTAGATATTCCATAACAGCAGCCAAGTATACAGGTTTTCAATATCACGTTCTATTTTCTATTAAATGCTGACGTTACGGAGTATACTGTACAAATCACATAAATAAAATCTGAGATAAAAAATGGGTTGCAATACGTGACACAAACTGCACAACAATGATGTATCTATCATATTTTACGTACTTTTTATAATGTTATTACGAAAACAACATTTTTTCACGATGTAATGCTGTTTAAATAGTATGAACATATTTTTTATTATTATTCGGAATATTTTCACCAAATATTTTCGGGGGAGCAAACGACAGTTATAAAATAAAATGAATTTATTTGACGTTTGGGTTTTACATTGCAATTTTTTTTATAATAACTTTCTTCAGCCTCATCCCCTTTAAAGCTTTTTTTAACACATTCGCTGCTGACTTCTTTCGAGAGGTGTTACCCAGGAGCGGCAATAACTTTTTCTAAAATATCATTATTTCAATTATTATCAATCTAATTTTCTAATTTTATAAAAATGAAAAAGGTCCTATGTGGCAAAGATGTAACATTTGCTCTTAAAGTACGCCTAACAAAATGTTACGTATACAGTGTACTATATTATGGAGTGGAATCATGGACGTTAAATCTAGATACCATGAGACGACTTAACGCCTTTGAAATGTGGACCTATAGAAGAATTATGAGGGTTTCCTGGGTAGATAGAGTTACAAACAATGAAATACTGAGAAGAATAGGCAAAGAGAAGGAAATTGAACTTACAATTCAAGAAAGAAAGCTACAGTATCTCGGACATGTGATGCGGGGCGATAAGTATGGCATCCTGCGACTCATAATGCAAGGAAAAATAGATGGCAGAAGAAGCATCGGAAGAAGACGAATTTCATGGCTGAAGAACCTGAGAGAATGGTTTGGATGCAGCTCAAAACAACTATTTAGAGCTACTGCCTCAAAAATTAAGATAGCTATGATGATTGCCAACCTCCGTAGAGGAGATGGCACCTGAAGAAGAAGAAGAAAATATCATTGTAATTGATATTATAATATATAATAATAATAAATTAATTAAATAAACTGTAAATTTATTTATAAAATGTGATTTAAATTTTTGACTCCAATGGGAGTCATTCGCACTTTGCTTAGAATGGCTGTGTATGGCTGATTGGCTCCGATCGGCACAAGGCAACGGTTAGCATAAGAGCAATTTCAAAGCATTCATCACAAAATCCGGGTTTTTATCAAGACATTTTTCGCAGTGATATGTTGTCTGCTTTCTAATTTTGTTTTTGGAGTATATTTTACAACGCTTTTCTTTGTTTATCCATTATTAACCATAGGAATTTTTGAAATGCTATATCTAGAGGCAGGAATATTTCTTGTTTTTCACAGTTTGAAGAGCCCAGCATACTTTTCGCAATTTTGAATCACGAAACTACCACAGCAAAGAACTGGTAAAATTTTTTGCCACTTAAGTCCTCACTCACACCCTGAAAAACATTAACTAACGTCGGCATCTTACTAAGTATACCGTCTTAAAAATCAACGGGTTACCTGTCCCCGATCGGTGTCATGCGGATCTAGCGAAGGACCACTTTGACTCCGATCCGAATCATGCGCAGCGAAAGTGTTAAATCGAAACACAGAAGTATTCAGCTAGAATAACTCCACAGAAATGTAATCGAAGGAATGATCTTCCAGTAAAGTCGTCCCACGAACGCAACTCAAAAATATTGACAATAGTATACAAGTCTAAAAGTAATATAAAATTGATACAACAGTATTTAGCTATATATTATAAAGTGTGTTTTATAAGAAAATAGCTTCAGAACAATAATATAATAATGTTTTGAATAATAATTTTTATTCTTTTACCCGAAATATTGAAGTCCGGTCCTCACTGACGTGTTTTGAAGAGCCATCGCATTTCCTACAGATCTTATTTCCGATTCAGGAAGACCGGAAAAAGCTCATCTCTTTTTTGTCGGTGTTCATTCATTATTATATAAAAACCTTTAAAAAAAAAGGGGGTTGCGTGTGCCGTGCAGTTTATTTTCCATATCTCATTTTCTCGAAGACGAGTGCTTTTTTATGTCTCGTATATTTTGTGAAAATTCCCAGCTAAATCTAGAAAATGGTGATGTTTAAGTGAGATGGATGATTTTCGATGTGAACAGGTAAAATGTATTGTGCATTATATCTTTCTACACAAAATTACTCGTCGTTTTTTAGATTACTAGTAAGTATATTTATTTATAATTTTTAATTATTTTAATTCGTGAAATGGTCTTATTCGGTCTTTCTCTTTTTCCTTTGCTTATTATTGGCCTCATTTTTCATCATCTAGTCAGATTGTCGTGTATCCATTTTAAGAAAGCTATAGAATTTTTCATATAAAAATGATTGCACGTTATTCAAGATTTACGACGTCAAAACCCCACAGCGTTGCCAAAACATCAGAATAGTTAATAAGTGACAAGTGAGTGGTTTTTACAATGTCAACTGGATTTTTAAAATGAAAAAAATATTCATATTTTCAAAATTTCTTCTTTTTTCACTTTTCAATAATGTAGAAAACGAGATACGTTTACTTAATCCATAATATTATAAAAGATCACATACAAATGTATAAGCCACTAGCTCTCTATAGGGACTATTCAGTTGTTTTGGCATTTTTCAAACACAACAATACACAACAGTAATTAGTTTTTAAAGCCATTAAGCCATATTTAATATGTACATATTTATAAAGACAGTTTAATAAAGTTATATATTGCTAATCATATTAATACACAAATGATAAGAACCATTAACAGAATTCTTACTATAAGATTGTAAATTATCGTCAACGCTGTCGGCCTTCTGGTGGTGGAAATACTATTTCCACCAACAGAGAGAAAAAACCCAGTACTTCTGCTCGATTACATATACAGGCAAAATATCAACAAAAATAGCCAAACACATAAAAAAGAAAGGAATAACACCATCTTTCCGAACAAATAACAACCTATTCAAATATATCAAAAACAACAAGAGACAATATAAAAAACACTTACACAGTGGTATGTACAAACTTATATGTGACGACTGCCCAAAAACTTACATGGGTCAAACTGGTAGAAACTTTAATAAACGAATAGCAGAACATAAAAAGGATTTCGATAATAGAAAAACAGAGTCTACATACGCACTTCACCTTCTAGATCACAATCATTCTTTTAATGACGAATTTAAAATTCTTCACATTCAAAATAAAGGCCTTAAGCTATCCTTGTTAGAATCTATGGATATTAACAAATTAAAATGAACAGATATAATTCTGAATGACCAACTTGAGACAAACAGTTCTCCCCTCCTCAACCTACTTCATTAAAAACTTAAACGCATGAAAAAAATAGATCACTTGAGAAAGGCAATCAGCCGAAACAGCTGTAGTGATAGAAGTTAAAATAAATTTTGTGGAAGTTTGAAAACAAAGTTTTCAGTGTTTTATTGTTACTAGCTATTTTGTTCCTCACGCAAGAGAAAATGATGCTAAATTGATGGTTTATTCATACTAGTTCCCAATATTGACCGAGTAGAAAATAAACCCTGGATACATTCTTGCATTATCTGACGACCACATAAGAAACAACACAACTCTACTACCCGTAGATTACAAACATTTTTACAGTTTATAAATTGTTATAAAAAGTTTCTCGATTTTATTTGTCACGTCATATATTTTCCGACTTCTTTTGATGCTCCAATAAAACATATTTATTTTGCTTTCCGGCTTAAGAACAGATCCATTAACGTCAAAACTTGAGTTAAAATTAAAAATAAGAGTTTTCTTTTCCAATAAATCGGAATAGTTTATGATTCTAACAGGCTTTATCCCAGGACCGTATCTTTTGCAATGTTAATACAATAAAGAAATTCCTGGCATAGATTGAAATTAGTCGAATTAGTAGAAATAAATATTTTTGTTTATGTTGATTAATGTTTACATTAGCACTCAGTTTCATCCTAATTTTATTATTAGCTTTCGAGTTTTCTTGAAGGTGTCTTCAGTGTAGAGAGAGTAGGGCGACAGATCACAATTTTTCTGCACTTCTTTTTAGTTATTGAAAAGCTCTGTGGTTTTAGATGCCATTATCCCAAATTAGCCAGCATTTTAATTTATTATGGTCTTAATTTTATATTTTATAGTTCCAATATGCCATTTTTGAAAAGAAGCAGTAGATTAATCATGTAGGAATAGTGATTTATATCAGCCATACACTGTCT